AATCTGGAAATTTTGTATTTGGTTTATTCTGTGTTGTGTGAAACAGTGTTCGTGAATTTTTGGATCCCATGGCCGTAACTAAAGAAAAGTTTATCGGACACGTAATCAAGATTCTGAAGAAGATTAGGTAAGTTAGTATTTTTAATTATTTGAGGATATTATTTTATGCATTGTTTGTTCTAAATGTAAGGTGGAAGTAAAGGAATTTGGTATTATTGGGAAAATTGTTATTAGCAATGATTTAGTTTAAAGTAATTAGGATTGTAAGGCAATTTTTATTAATTTAATGTATGTGCTCATTTATATTTTAAGTAGTGTTTTTGAATTTAATTATATTTTAATTAAATGATAGTTATTTTGTGAATTTTATGTTTGTAGGAATTTGGTATACGTTTCAGTTGAAGTAAACGTGCATGGAAATAATTTAAATATCTGACACTAACTATTTGTAATGGTTGCGGTATGAATTCGTTCGTGACTTTATAATATAATAGATGATTTAGAGGTAAAAGTTTTTGGATATTTTATTTATTTTATATGTGGAATGTTCATATTTGGAAAGGGTAAATACTTTTTCGCGATCAGGTAATTTCATATATGTTCTTTTTACCGGGTTTAAAGATTGAGAAAATTGTCATGTATTTTCGTGAAATTTTTCTAATTTGTGAGAAAAAAGCAGTGTACATGGATATAGTGAAGAATGTGCGCAATGCCATTTTTGTGCAATTCTGGGATGTTTTTTTAAGTAAAAATAAGTCGACGTGTACATGGTTTAGTGATATTTTAATTAAATGATAGTTATTTTGTGAATTTTATGTTTGTAGGAATTTGGTATACGTTTAAGTTGAAGTAAACGTGCATGAAAATAATTTAAATATTTGATACTAAGTATTTGTAATGCTTGCGGTATGAATTCGTTGGTGACGTGTATAATGTAATAGATGATTTAGAGGTAAAAGTTTTTGGATATTTTATTTATTTATATGTGGAAATGTTCATATTTGGAAAGGGTAAATACTTTTTCGCGATCAGGTAATTTCATATATGTTCTTTTTACCGGGTTTAAAGATTGAGAAAATTGTCATGTATTTTCGTGAAATTTTTCTAATTTATGAGAAAAAAGCAGTGTACATGGATATAATGAAGAGTGTGCGCAATGCCATTTTTGTGCAATTCTGGGATGTTTTTTTAAGTAAAAATAAGTCGGCGTGTACATGGTTTATGTGTATGTGTTATTTTGAAAAAACGCGTAAGGAGTATGGTATTGTGCACTTTTTCCCAATTTTGCAGTGAATATTTGTCATGTTTAAGCAGTTTTTTGTTAGATAAAATTTCTAGCATAAGTCTAATTCGGCTAGTAGATTGTTGGAAGAAGTGTTCAGTAGATAAAAAGAAAAGAAACATGTCTTTACTTCGTGAAGACAAAATGGCGGCGGGAAAAAAAAAATAGAGGGTTGCTGTAGGAGAGTTGGTCGCCAAATTTTCGCCAAAAAAACGCCAAGTTACCATAATGTAAAGATCAACCGGAATTTTATCCGATTGTCTTTCCTTACTTTTTAATTGACATCTTTCGCATGTTCTACAATAATTTTCTACATCTTTGGATATGTTCAGCCAATAAAATGAAAGCTTAATTTTTTCTTTAGTTTTCCTCATACCTAAATGATTTCCAAATATGAGCTAATTGAAGGAATTTATTTCGATAATTCTCGGGCAAAACTAACTGTTGTATCTTTTTCCCCACAAATGTTTTCTTTATGAAATAATAATAATACAGTTTCCCTTAGAAAGTCCTCCACGAAGGCATCCCTCCTCTTAGGAAGATAGCCCTAGTGTGCTTTGCCAAAATTAAATACACACACACACCTTTATGAAATAATAATTCGTCCTGCAAAAAGAAATTATTCTTGCCTAATTTTGTGTTCTTAAAGAATTTAATAATGTTTGGCAGTTTCTCTGATCGACCTTAAATTTATTCGTTTCCGAATAACTGTTTAGTCTTTCATCATCCTGATTCGCAACTGAGCTATTTACATTTGGCAGTTCAACGGCGCCAACCTTAGGGTGTTTTTGTTTATGAGTTTCCGGTTTCGTCTCAGGGCAGACTGTTGATTCATTCTCGTCTTCAAATATGCCATCCCACACATCTGATGTAATTAAACATTGAACATTGAGCTTATCCGTCAGCTTCTACGCGCGAATATAAACAACTATTTGGTTTTTGTAATAAATGGGAATAGTTGCTAACGTTGCCTCTATGACGTCGCCAAATGCAGAACTTAAAATGATTTTACCCTTACTTTCTATTTTTGAATCAGGAATTAATGTAGTGTTCAAAATTGGTATTCCCATACCTGAATCTTTTATACCTTCTACTTGCTTCCTTGCAATGTAAATAGTAATCTTTTCCAAGGAATAAAAATTAAGTTTTCCGTCGGAACACTTGCGTTTATGTAAATGTTTAGAATTTACATTTATAACAACCGCATTATCCTTCGGTTTACTTGAAGTGTTAACTTTCGGTTTGACCGGAAAATTATCGTTCTGTTTATTGGACCTCTCAAATTTTTTTCGCCTGTTCGGGCAATCCTTAGCCAAATGTAAACTGCTACTACACACGTAACATTCTCGCGGTTTAAACGAATGTTTCTGTTCATTTACCACTGAATCTTTTCTTAGCGCTGGTGGAATATATTTAGAGTTTTTGTTGCATGAATCACGAAAATTAATGCGTTTTTCACCTCTTATGTCATCAAAAGATTTACCTTTTGCGATGAATAAGTGTCGCATTCCTTCGCTAGTTCTTCTGACGTAGCCAACTTTCACCTTGTCGAACTGCAACATGGCACGCTAAATCACTATCCAACGTTTGAAAAAGTTTGTCAGAAATTATTAAGTTAATTAAAGACTCAAAATCATTGACGTTTCTACTTTTACAATAATGGATCCAACATGATCTTAAACGAGAGGCGAACTGCAAATGAGTTTCCCCCGTCAACCTTTGAGCTTGGCGAAAATTTTCTAAACATATAATTGGCGATGGTTCATATTCCTTAAGGATTAAAGATTTAATTTTTTCATAATCTTTCAAATCATCATCTTTAATATATACTAGAATATTAGAAGATTTATCACCTATCAGTTTAAGTAAAATTTCAGACTTAAACTCATTTGGTACGTTCTTATGCTTAAAAGCCCTTTCTATTGAATCAAAAAATAAGTTCCATGCTTCACCCTTTTTCGATACAGAAATCGATAATGCCTGTACAGCTTTCAAAAGCTTGTCTAATGAAAGTGTATTTTCTACGTTGTTACTAGGTTCGTTGCTCAAACGCAGTTTCGCAATTTCTTCTGACATTTTCCTTTCTTCAACCGTAGTATTAAGGAATTCAATAACAAAATCTTTATCTTTCAAATATTCTTTAGAACTTAAAAGCTTATCTTTTAATTCTACGACTTTCAAACTAGAATAGGCTTCTTCACCGAGTTCCTTCAACAGCGATATCAAATCACTTTTAACTACTCCCTTAAACATATTTATATAAAAAATTTTCCTTAAAATTACAACAAAAATTTCTCACCTTTTCTCAAAATCCACTCGGCTTGGTTTGCTCTAGTTCTCGAAAGAGATCGTGCTGTAATGGCTTGACGGATGAGTAAGGCACCATTAAAAAAAACGAAACAAACATTTATTAAAAATTAACGTTCAAAGAATAATAGTATGGTAGCAGTACCTCGCTCCTACAACATAACGAAATCTACCACCTTTCTCCTCTGAAGCTAACATGCAACTAACTTTTCTCTCACTTGCTGGGGTCTGGCAGGGAGCTGATTGGCTCACCGCAGCCAGATACATGACATTCATATTATGTAAGTTTTTCTTGTGTATTGCATTTATCTTTTATTCGATCTTTTCCTGAGCACGGTCCGGTAAGGTCATACTCACAACGCAATGACTCCTGTTTAATTACGATCACAAATTAATGCTTAATTGGCTAGCACTTATATTTTTATGTTACCTTAGAGTTTTTGTTTGTGCTAGTTTAAAGTTTTAATTAGTTATTCTGTTTTTTGTTACGGATACCCCACTTAATATTGAGGGACTAAAAACTTCAATATTACAGCGTGTTGTATAGGAAGGCGCTCCTCTACGAAGAATAATGAACAATGTTAACGACAGATTATATTAATTAATTTGTAATCTAACCCTCCGTGTGTTATCCTTCAGTTTTGTTTAGATTTTTGGATTCCCGATGTTTACTCATGTAACATCGGTTCTCGAAAATGTTCTTTCTTCTCAAAGTTGTTTATTGTATTTTTATTGAGAACTGCATATGTTAATGTGGTACTTGGAAACATATATAAAAAAATGAATATTTATGTGGATATGACAATGTGTTCTGTTTAAGATAGTACAGTTAACGAAATTTTAGATAGTGTTATCCAGTTGAACCTAAGTAAAAGTGTTTGCGGCTGTACATAACTGTCAAACTGTTTATTTGGATATAAGATTAAATATTGTGTTCCTCAGTTTTGTGATAATTTACCACAATATTGAGTACCAATATTTTTCAGTGCAACACTTCTTACAAAAGTCCGCTATTTCGTTAATTAGTATCTTAATGGCTATTTACTAAGTTAAAATAGCTCAACGTTTTGACTTGCATAATTCAGAACTAAAGTACATAACATATGTAAATGCTCATTCAAGTATCATTTTCTTCTGATTTCTAAAATCCTGTTTAAAATACCAAAAGCTAGCAAAACTCATCTAACATATAAACGAAGAGAAAAAGCTCTTTAAAAGACATCGAAATTGTCAGCAAATAATTTTCAATTTAAAATATGTCATTGCCAGTTATTGACGATACATTTTAAGTAACCGCGGAGAAACGACAGAATAGTAATGATTTCTTCTATCATAGTTGTTACTAGATTTTTTTTTCTTTGAAATAAATATTGATTTGATGCTAAGCTGCTATAGGCTGAAATAACACAATCTCCTTTACAAGTTCATTTGCAGATGTTAAGTGACAGATGTTTATCTCTCAAATAACAACGAATCCAGAATAAACGACGATAAAGAATACAGGTAACGCATTTCCCTTTCTAATATGTAGTCTAGGACACATTCTAATGGCTTTATTAGCAATATTAATGAATTCTTAAATTAGCATGAGAAGAGAATAAATACTGCAGTGAATTTTGCCATCAATAACCCGTATATATTACTATTATAGTTCCCAAAGTTCTAGCGTAAATGTTTTCTAATCTAGTTTATTGAAATCTATTGCTTGTTATATCTATTGCTTGTTATATCTTATAAATATTAAGATGGAATATAAATGCCAATAAGGCTCTGATCATCTTTTCAGCTATTAAATTAATTTATAAAACATGCAAGTTATTTTTAATTGTACGTTAAACCATTAAATAGTTTTATGAAAATTGCATTTAATTTATCTATGGAAAACCTCTTATGAATTTACAAATAGATACGTTATCTGAAACTTTTCAATAGGCAATAACAACAACACCGTTCTTAGATGCTTTATATAAGTTTACGCATTCTATTCTCCCGTTCAGTTTTAAACTGTTTGTCAAAACATAATAAGTAAATATTTTGAAGAATTTATTGAATTACGTTTCATCGAAAGAGGTTTTTATTGCGAAAACAGGCGTTAAATGTGCCGGTATAATTATGCCGTTAGCTTTAACAGATAAATTAGTGTAAATTTCCCTAGTTCTGCAAGCAAATATTATTTATATTATAGGCGACTGATTTATGTAAATATTTTAAGTTAATTATGAATGAGAAAATTATTAACAGGAATGTATTTCAAATGTTTGCTTCAAAGCCCCAAAATAACAAGGAAATTGCAAAAATGCTTACTAGTGATCGAGTGGAGAAGTTCCGTGAGCGCTGGCATTTCGACATGGTTATATTACTAACGAGCAGGCTTGCTACATGGTCGTTTTTGTGGGTTTCTCCATGAAAATATGATAAAAAAACCAGTTTCCCTCAGAAAGTCCCCCACGAAGCAATCTTCTTGCTGAGAAAAATAGCTCTACTGAGTTTAGCATAAATCAATAAATCCGGGCAAATGCAAAGAAACAAGCAAAATGTTTTCTTATCTTGCAGGAAATAAACAGAGCTTCTAGGCCGCAATCAAAATAAAAATTATACCTTAGTTTCAATTCCTTAAATTTCCCGGTAGAATGATAGAATAAATATTAATCTACACTTTTCAGCGCTTTGTTTCCGTTCGGGGATTTTGAAATATTAGGAAACTCTTTCGTGCTCGATGTTTTCTGTCATATATCTGCTCTCTATAGAGACTTATCTTGGTATTCTAATCTTATCCTTTCTTGATTACACTTACTTAGTTTTTATTAATAAATAGAAAACATATCTTTTTGCACCAGTTGCATTGAAAGAGCAAATAAAGAGTGACTAAGAAGAGTAATGTTGATGATCAAAATTAATGGATAAACTATAAATTATTCATTTAAATTTGATATAGTATTTCGTTTTATTATTTGCTTTAAAACAGCGCAATCGCTTATCTAGAGACTCAAGAAACAGAATTTGAAAGTTTTTTGAAGATCCTAAAATAGTGTTGCGTTGATAAATGGTGTTACTATTTATATTTTTACCTATGTTTTTATACTACTTTAGAAGCTATTTTTAATATTGTCTTTAGGTGAGTCTGTCATATAGATTTGTTTACAGAAAAATTGAAAGTTCGAGGTTGGGGAAATAACTTTTAAAATTTCCAATTATAAAAACCCATCTCGAATTTGTCCGCACCAACAATCTCGACATTTTCCACATATTGCGATGGATTCTACTTCAGTTGAGGACTCGAGAATTCTCCATCTTAATTTTTTAGTTCTATTCTCTTTGACCTTTTCAATGACCCCTGAGAAATATATTCGCCGTATTTTCTGATCAAAATCTATGTAGAATTTTTTACTGAAGTTTGAATCTTCTCAGATAAATTAACGATCCAGTTTCAAGAAAAAACTAATTTTATTGTTAGATCCTTAGGTAATTTATTTCATTTAATAATACAAAATGATAGTGCGAGGATTTATCAGCCGCATAGTATATGGATTTTATGTGGTAATGGCCTGATCTTAAGAAGGAAGAGAATTTTGAAAATTCTCACTAGACGGGTTCCTTAAAGCTAGTAATATCTGAAGAATCAGCACTTACTTAGGATAGAAATGATCTACCTCATCTTGACCAAAATATAATGGTTAGCCTATTACGAACCACAAACCTTTTATCCTCTGTCACCAGAATTTTATAATTTGGATATATATTATTAAAACTAAGCGGATTAATGGGAGGATTATACATAACACCTGATTTAGCTAACATAGTACATAACTGCTGGTGTATGTACTGTCAGGAACTAACCATATCTTGCATGCGCATCAGAAATACGCTCTGTCTTAACACTCCAAAAACCTCAGTTTATGGTATGACTTTCCATTTTCATTCCGGTAAGGAAACGAAAAGTTAAAATAATAAACCTCAGTTTATGGTATGACTTTCCATTTGCATTCCGGTAAGGAAACGAAAAGTTAAAATAATAAACCTCAGTTTATGGTATGACTTTCCATTTGCATTCCGGTAAGGAAACGAAAAGTTAAAATAATAATTTGTTGGTTTAAAATAATACACATTAAGAAGTAGGATATCGATATTATGTTTATCTACATAGCTTCTCATAAACTCTTCTTCCTCCCTTCTGTCTCCTAAGATCTTTTGAAGTGACACAAACAAGTTTGATGAAATAGTTAGCTAAGTTATTATTAGAAATCTATTTGATAGAATTTACCGCAGAATTAGCTAGCACAAAATTTCCAAACCCTACGGGGTAATTTCCAGTTTATCAATAATTAAAGTAGATTTCTTAAAAATCATAAAGAATTTCTGTGATTTGGTGATAGTGTTTACTAAGAGATCTGGGCTTCCTTCGCACATTAACAGCTTAAATGTATGTCTTGTTTATCTATGTTTCGAATTTTTCTTTTGGTTCGAGTATTTTATCCCTTTTTTACTTTTTTTCTCTTTAAGTCTTTGTCGATTGGATTTTTCTCAGTTATTTTAGGAGGCATTTTTTGTGTAGTTTCTTAGCATTTCCTTTTTAATTCTGTTGGATACTTTGGGTATAATAATCTTACAATGTATTATGTAAGACTGATCTGTTGGGCATCATAATCTTACAATGTACTAATACTGATGTAACAAGTTGACAAAATAATCAACTTGTTACATATAAACTTGTTACATCTTTATATGTAACAAGTTGATTATTTTGTCCGTTTGCGTCTTTCGTTTTTCCACTTTTTCTTTTTTGCTCTGATAAATATTCGTACGATTATATTATTGAACATTTAAGATATCTGATCATTCTAACAGAAATATTGCTTATGTTCGAAAAGGAGATGGTCTGTTTATAGATTTCATTGAATTCATTTTACACTTCTTTCGATGTAGACCATCGATAAAACTGTCTAACGTTTTTGACATAAATATCGGGATTGAGAATTTTTTTAATATCTTATATTTGGAAATCCCGTTTGCAATTTGCGTTTGATTGCTTTGATTAATTTTCCCAAACTCAAAATCTGTGAAAGTTAGCGACTTTTCTCTTCCTTAAATTTCTTTCTAACTTCCTATAATCTTTTATGGAACACCTTTTTTTACCATTAATATACCATTTTTCCTTCGATTTTTGATATATGAAAATTTTAATTTTTTCCCTTTAATATCATTCAACTGGCGTTTGATTCAATATTTTATGGGAGTATATTTTGGAAGTTTCAGATTTGCCTTGGTCTCCTTCATTTTGCTCCACATCATCCTCAATTTTACTTAAAGCTGCGTATTTATTCACAAGATCTTCGCAAACCGAGTTGTTAAGTATTTGATTAACTTCTTGTTAGATTCTGCTTGGGTATGGTACATTCAAAATCTTCGAGATTCGAAAACTAGATTCTTTGCGATTTTTTCATCATTTCGTATCTTTCGAGTCCTAACCAAAAATGACATTAAATATTTTAATTGAAAACTCAAGAAAGATTAATTGAAACTGACAAGAAATTCTTGAAACTCCACTGCAAGTATTCCTTAAAAAGTGACTGCTGCAATCTGAGTGATACCTGGATAGCAATATCAAGCATACAGCACCTTGAGTGCCACATTGTAAATAAATAGGCTTATATGAACTCTTAAAATGTACAAGTTTTTAATTTTTCTAATAATTTTCTGGAAAATATTCATGAAGGTATCTTTAAATTGGTTTGGTTTGGTTTATTTATTGCGGCAAAATACATTAGGGATAGATGTCTAAGGATGATAGATGTCTTCGTGAAGGACTTTCTAATGGAAAGTGGCTCGTAAACATGTTACACATAGGGAAACGATTATATGTTTGAAGAGACGGTTAGCTTTATCTATGCCATTCTTGAAATAATTGTTTTTTCGCATTTGCTTTGGATTTAAAAGAATCTGTAGAGGTGTAAAAAAGAACAGTAAACTGTTACTTCATTATGTTTAAGAAAATTATCCTCAAGATTTAAGAATTCTATCCAATGTATATTCCGGCGTATAAACACCTATAATTTCAAATTATAATTTTTAACTTTTAGGTATATTATATATTATTTTAGGTATATTCTTTACCAAGAAACCTGAAAGATACATATGCGATGCTTTTATCTTTTGAAATCATTTATTCGAAAAATTTTTTCAGGTGTTCCAACAATGGAATACTGAATTGCCAAGCGATTAGGAAACAATATGTACGTGAGGGAGAAGAAATGCCTGAGGAAGCACACAGTTCTGCACAGAGGATGAGTTGTATTCAATGCAGGTATGCACAAGAATGTTATTCTAAGGTTTTGAGAAAAAAAAGGCTATAGAATTTGGCTTAAAATTGCCCTTCCGACCCGAATAAATCCCATAGCATGTGACTTATAAATAATTATGAGTCACATGCTTTCATTTTCTGCAGTTATCTGAAGCCGTGATCTTGAAATGAACATCGAAGGCTTTAGTAAATCGTATTTCCTTTAGTTGAAATACATTTGATCCAGTGTTCCTTTTAGTATACTAAATAGGGCTACTGTCAAATGAACAATACAATGGTTTCAAATACAAAGTCATTCAATTTTTGAAAGAAAATAGACATCGTGGTGCAGCAAGGATGTTTGGTGTTAGTGAAAGATGGAACGAATAATAATTATTTTATTTATGGATCAGAGTAATAATGATGGCGAAGACGAAACAGAACTGGATGATGTGCTTGAATTATAACGCAAGACGAACATCACGAACTTTTCATGTCAACCGATAATGAAAATTTTTAAATTCATAAGATAAATTTCATTTCTTTTAAATAAACAGAATTTAGGTGCATGTAAAAATATAATTTTTGCATGCTAGTTTGTTTCTTATTTTTAATCGATAATTTTTATAAAGCGCACACGTAAATTTCGATCTTAATTTTTGTACTAAAAGTGCGCGTTATAAGCCCGAATATACAGTGTGTACTTCTTTAACTAAATTCCATTTGTGTCGTGTTAAAAATTTGTATTTGCATTTAAACTGTATTTTATAGTTCATTTTTAGTCAAAGATGCAGATTTTGAATTTTCCTTCAATTAAAAATTTTTGGTATTAAAAAGTTTTCTTGCTTTTTTATTCTTCCTATCATTTTTATAAAAGAGCCTTTTAGAATTTTTGAATTACTTTACTTTTAGAACTTAGCCTTTTAGAATTCCATTCGTCTCATTTTTGGAATTCAGATTTCTCATTTAGTGTCGTTGATATTGTAACCTTTCTTACTTGCCTACTTGTTATTTCCTCTATTTGCGTTCAATATTCTTCGATAGTAATCTCATCTTATCTTATCTGCGTAGTTGTATATTTTATTTAGCTGGACATCTACAACAGACACATTATTTTGAAAATTCTTTCTAAGATTCACTTATAGATGTCTTTGAAATGCTTTATTTAGCATTTACGGGACATAAAATTCCATTCTGAAGATATGAAAATCTAGTTGATCGGAATCAAGATTCTCTAAATTCCTCGAAGAAGTTTTAACTCGCTACTAAAGCGTTTAAGCGCTAAAGATTTGCTTTTTGGAGTTGGATTATTCATATATATTATTACATATAGTGGAATTCTATCCAACATATATTCCGGCGTATAAGCACCTATAACGAGAAAAAATATAAAATAATACACTACAAAAGAAATGAACTCTGCGATAGACGGCAAAATTCATGATTACTCTAAATTTTTAACGGAAGAAAAGGTAATGAAAACATCAATGCATTCACGATGATAGCAGTGCTTCTTTTAATTTTCGTTGAAAAATATAATTTTCATTGAAGTATTTGTTTGTTGTAGTTTTTGTGACTAATCTTGCTTGTCTGAAATCAGAGCAAGCTCGAGAAATTCATCGTGGCAAGGAATCAAGATTGTACATGTCGTTGGCAATAGCCTTCGATACCATACAAATAACAACACGACTTTTCTCAGTTCCCTCCACTTTTTAAGGAAAGCACCCCCGAAAACACTACCAATACGACCGCCGACCTTAGGACTTAACGTGTCTCTCGGTGTAATTATCATGTTGGCAGATGCCATCTAATAACTGCTAATAATTTTCCTGTTTGTTGGAAATTGCTAAAGATTCATTTTACTAAAAAACTACTACTTTGCAAAAGGGTTAACAGAGCACATTATTAATTAAATACAAAACTTACAGTTGCACAAGGTTAATAAATCCCGTTATCAATTAAATACCAGATTCACACTGTTATATAAACTAATAGTTACAGTAGAATCAATTAAAAGATGCATACTTAAATGACCAAAGTAAATGCAATTAAAAAACTATAGCTACATATATTAGAAGTTGCATAATTGTTGAACAGAGAATAATAAATTTACCTATAGGACTTGTAGAGGATAACATCTGCTTTCTACTTTCTTTTAAAACAAAATAAAACAAACAAAAAATAAGGAAAATATATTACTATATATTCCTTAAAATACAACAGATACGCTACTGATTACATAGACACAATATGCACAAGGAAGCTATAAACCCAATAATTAAATATAGCACAAAATAATTGCTAGTTATAAATTAGATGTAATATTAATATATATATATATATATATATATATTGGAAACTAAAGAATCAAACAATGATCAACTAAATGTATTAGATTAATAACACTAGCTGTGTTTTTTAGGGGGACAAAAATTAGGGAGTCAAAAATACAGTGATACACTTCAGTTGACACACTCAAAGTATTATAAATATTATTAAGAATATATTATACAGATACACTAAAATAATACTCCTTTAGGACCACAAGAATCTATAGCAGAATTTCTGATAAAAGATATAAGTAGCAGGTTTGACCAAGAAAAGAAAGGTAGAAGGGACCGAGAGTCTCCACCTCTCATCCCCTAGCACCAGTCATCTAGAGTGCTTTCGGCTCACAGCCTATTTTGAGTGAGCCCATGCCGCACGGACACTATACATTTACAAACATCCATGCCTTCTCCGGGATTCAAACCCAGGCCCTTCGGTACGGTAATCAGAGCCACTAACCACTATCCCAGTTGGACGGCGGAATAATTGTTTAAAAACACTTAACAAAATACAAATATAATCTCATAAAATTCATTCAAATATTTTAAGTGTTAACGGTTAAATTTTTGATACTTCGTGTTTAAAAATTCATTTCAAACGCAGATGAATATTTCTTTTCTGTGCTTAAATATAAAAATAAAGCCTACTTTTATCATGCGACATGCGACGGGGGACGTGGGCACCACCCCTTTACCGTCGGTTAATTGGTGTAGCGCCACGTCCACCAATATCTAGAGTTGAACCTTGAGTCTTTCAAAAGAGCAATTACATGGCCATACAAGGGCTGTTAATATTTAGTATTACATTCTTGTTTGCTGGTTAACATATTCTATGGATAACGTGATTTACAGAGTTACATACTGACTTTGTCTCTCATTTCCGGCATACAATGCATATGCATTACCTGAATTACATTAATCTTACATTGTGTTGGATTACTTTTGTGTACAGTTACAGTTTTTAGCTGTACATTTCAATAAATATACCTACATTACTTGTAGATTGCATATAAATACAGTTTGCATGTACAGTTACATATGCCAATATTACATGTGCCTTGCGTTACATTATTTTTATATACATACATAGTCAGGCACGCCTGCTTCACATATTACTTAATTTTACCTACACTGCTTAGGTTACATATACTTGCAGTTGCATATAGATACATGCAGATACATTCTGATTAATTTTTAGATACAAATATTTACAAACATAATAGTCTTACAGGTTACTTACATTACATGTTATTTGGGTACTTATTGCATAATTTTCCAGTACATGAAATAGACATTCCAATACATACATTGCTTTGCGTTAGACATCCTATATCCCTTATTCATAATACAAAACATATATGTTACCCATGCATTTTTATTAGACATTTCTGCATTTATATTGCATTACTTTAAATTGCATAACTTACTTATACATAGCTTACTGATACACAAAAATATTTACATATATTACACTCCCTTACATTACTTTGCTTACAGATATATGCACTTTCATACATTCGTTATGCCTACATTATATATCGGTTCATTATATATGGTCTTACGGTATAATTTGCCGAAATTTATTTACACAGTACATGCACATTGTTAAATGCAACTGACTTTCCAGGTATGAATACAGGCAGTCTTTATACTGTGAGTTTCTAGTCTACATTATAGTTTCTTACAATTCACTTGAATGACAGTTTTCCTACATTGCAATACATGTCCTTTTTAAAATGCTTAAGTTGTTTTTACATGCTGGGTTGTTCTATGGCTGACACAAGTCTGTATCTAAGTCGGACAGTCTGTCCATCAACTGTACCAGCTTTTTAATAAAGTGCCGCTGTGTTTTATCATATATTTACAGAACGGCTGGCGATTTGTTTCAGGGAGATTGATATGCAGTCCTTCTGTTAATGGGCATGACGTTAGATAGTGCTCTGGTGAGCCTGAGTCGCCGCATGCACATTGACTTGTGTGACTTATGCCACGCTTGAAGAAATATTCCGGGTAGGGCCCATGCCCGGAAATGAACCTTACCAACTGTGCGTTCGCTACATTTCGGCTAGTGTCCACATAGCCGATGAAGTAGTGGGTCCTTCTCCCTGTGGTGCTTTGGTCCCATTCGTTCTGCCACATGCCAGTAGCCCTTAGGCGTAGTGTCTTCTTTAAATACGAATGCGGCCATGGGATGATAATTGGTGCATCAGGCGGGTCAGTTGTTGCCTCTTTGGCGAGTTGGTCGGCAAGTTCATTGCCATAGTGGCCAACATGAGCCTTTATCCACTCTAATTTTGTGCGGTACTGGGGGTTACTTCTAAGATCTCTCTGGATTCCCTGTATAATCTCCGAGGGATGATCTGCATTCCAAATGGCATATAACGATGATAAGCTGTCCGTTTTAATGGTGACATGGCTATGCTGGTGCGAGTGCAGGTAGCGAATCGCTTGTGCAATTGCCACTGCTTCGCTTTGAAAGACACTGTTATGTTGTCTTAACTGTCCCTTCCATTTCTCGATTGCGTTGTCTTGTTTCGTGGCGACATAGGCGCATCCCACTCTTTCGTCCAATCTAGACCCGTCTGTATAGATGGTCATTTCCCTTGAGTGATGAGTTGCAGTGGGATTAATTGAGATAAGTATCCCTTTGCCTTTCTCTGCCGGGTGGACGTCAAGAGGGCAGAAGTTTGTTTCGTA